TTTCTCATTCCCCCATGACTAAATCACTACTATAAATGATAACGTACACACATATGCAATCTTTGTATCAGCATTAATTGAACAGTGTCATGTTTCCTGTTCATTCATACAGTAGATTGATGTACCACTAATATATATCTAAACACAAAAAAAAAACTTTCAAAGTTAACCTATTTCATAGGTTTTCATAGGTGTCCTTAAATTGATCTCTTTATTGTGATCAAAATTAGTAAAACAGAAATAAAGCATAGAGAGACAATGAAATGTTTGGTCTTTCTAGAGACAGCTGTTGAATATATCTTAAAAAAGCAATCTAAGTGAGATTAAACATGGTATTATCTTACTACTCCCCAAAACAGCTCTCTGTACTTCACCATCTCCAATTTCTGCCTCTCTTTTCTTTCTTAAAACCACCAAACTTTTATCTTATCACTCCTTTCTTTTTTTGGGGGGTGGGGGGCTCATCTAACTTATATTAGTAGCACTTACAATGCTAATCAATTCCTTCTCCTTGAAAAACCTCCTTCACTTGGTTTCCCAGGTACCAATTTTCCTACTATCGATAACCGCTCCCTCAGTCTTCTCGTTGATTTTTCTTGTCTCAATTATTGAACATGCAAGTACCCTCAAGTAAGGTAAGGTACTCATACTATTTCTCATCTCTAATTGGAGTCTAACGCTCTTGGAGAGATCTTATCCAGTTTTTTGCTTAAATATAATACGTCGACAGATAAGAAATTTATGTCTGGTCCAACAATCTGCTGTGAGCTCCAACATGGCACGTCCACTTAGATGGCGAGAAACATTTCAGACTTAGCCAGTTCAGAACTTCCCCGTGAATGCCAAACTTGACATCTCCACTTACTATTTTTAATAACTCTCAAGCTTAGCCAGTCTAGAAGTCAACTTCCGGCCTTCTCCCTTAAGACAGTTCCTCTGGTCGTCTTCTCCATCTCAATTAATGGCAAGACTACGCTTAAAAACGCTTAGGGAAAAAAACCTCAGTGTCATCCTAGAGTTTTCTCTATCACTCTTCCCATGTGGCCTATTAACAATTCTACTGGTTCCAATTTCAAAATACAAACAAGATCTGTTTACTTCTCCCTGGCTTACCACTATTCAGTCTTAGCTGGATTAACACAACAGCCTTCCTGATTCCACTCGTGACACCTTATGTCCGTTCTCTACAAGACATCCAAACTGAGTTTTTAAAAAGGTAAGTCAGATTATATTACTACTTTGCTCAGAATCTTACAATGGCTCCCAACTCCCAGGAAAAGCAAAAGTCTTACAATGGTAAACAATGCTCTGTTGAAGCAGCTTTTCTTTACTGCTCTGAAATCATCTACTACTCTCCACCCAGATCACTGCAGTGCAGCAACACTGTCCTTCCCTCTGTTCCCTGAACACTAATCACATTCTTACTTCAAGACCGCTGAACTGTTTGCTCCACCTGGAATAATCTTCTACGTTTTAAACATGGATTACATCTGCATCTCCTTCTAGTCTTTGCTCTCATTCAGCTACTCATATAGGCATCATGTCATCACCAACTGGAAACTACAACTCCCTACTCCAGTACCCTCTACCTCACTTTCTTGCTTGGTTTATACCCAAAGCACTCATCATCTTCTCATATAATAACTCACTTATTTATTTTGTTTTTTGTTTCCTCCAGTGCAAAAAAATATAAGTCTCCTAAGAGGGCCAGAACTTTTTTTTTTTTAAGTTTTGTTCACAGTTTATCTCCCATGTCTAGAACTGTGACTGTACAAAAAGATGAATAAAATTCACTGAATTAATGAACAAGAGTATCTCACACCTTCTGCCTCATCTAAATAAAGAAGTGAAGATTTTTTTCATGGCTAATCAAAGTGACAGTTATACAAAAGTCAGATGGAAAATAAATCTGGAATGGTACTGGAGTGAGGCACAGAACTTTTCATTTTTTTTTTATTGTGAAATAAAGCAAGTTCCCTGGTGATGCTGTTGTTGCTGGTCTACAGAGCACAGTTTGAGAACCTACCTTGGAGATTATTCTATAAACTACAATATGCATCCTTTCAGTCTAACATTAATTAGTTCTTTTGCCGCCTTCCTTGACAAAGGAAGGATTTGAGAACATTTTAATTACATTTATTCTTCTGACTTATTGTCAAGTACTTAATTGTATCCGTGGCCATCACTGTTTTATACAGTCAATACACATTTAGACTGACTGCATATTTACCATTTCTACTGCTTTCCACTCCTTTCTGAATCTCTTACCTTTGTCTTCATCTTCTGCATTTTTTCCTTCTGCCTTAAGAATATCCCTTAAGATTTTCTTTAGTGTAGGTTTGCTGATGGCAAACTCTTCATTTTTATTCATCTGAAAATGTCTTTATTTTACTTTTGTTGAGAGATTTTCACTGCATATGGAATTTTAGATTGGTAGGTATTTTCCTTCACACACTGAAGATCTTATTCCACTGTTTTCTGGTTTCTACTGCTTCGTTGAGAGATTGGTTGTCAATCTAATTGTCCATCCTTTGAAGATAGTTTTTCTCTGCCTCCTTTTAAGAATCCCCCTTTGTGTTTTATTTTCAGTTTTACTATGATCTGTGAAGGTGTGACTGTCCCACTACCAGCAAGGGTCAGAGGATCAGACACAATCAGCTTTAATCTAACACTTAATTAGCTTTTTAGAGGGATATAAGATAGGATATCCAGCATGCAGAGCATCTTCAAACTCATCAGGAGGCCAAGCAACTATTCACATGCACAGCTTCTTGAATCTCTCCCCAGCACACACAGGACAAGCACAGCTGCCAAGGACAGTAGCAGGTAGTTCACCTGGACACAGAGATGTGCCTTGGTCTCCTGACAGTCTTGTACTGTTCACAGATGCAAGGCCACTATGTCAAGTAACGGTTCTCTCAGGCCAGAGGTAAGACCACAGATGGCGTTTCACAGTAAATTTCAGAGATAACTAGCTCCTAACATGTAACATTCCTCATCTGTCTTAACTCAATTTATTTCCGCAGAATGGTGCTATGAGAAGGCAGACTCAAAGTCAGGTTTTCAAGCAGGCCTAGGTCTGTTCAGGGTCCAGATCTGATTTTAAAACTTTATTCACAATGTAGATTTCATGTCATTTATTCTCTGGGGTATGAAGGCTTACTGAATTTCTGCCTTAATGTCTTTCATTAATTTTGTAAAGTTCGTAACAATAATCCTTTCTAGTACTTGCTTTAGCTGCATTATTTCTCTCCTCTCCTTTTAGGTCTCCTACTGAATTATGTTCAACTTTCTTTCTTCAACCTCTATTTCTTTCTGTATTTTTTCATCATTTTTGTGTCTCCATGCCTCCTTCTGTATATTTTCTTCTAAATTTCCTGTAAGTTCATTAATTTTCTTTTCAACTGTGTCTTACCCTCCATTCAACCCAACCACTGAGTTCTTAATTTTGGCAATTATGTTTTTCAGTATCCAGAATTTATATTTTAAAAATAATTTTTATTTCCCAATTGAAGTTTTCTACCTTCTCTTTCATCTTGTCAGCACGGTTATTTTCAGGCTATGTCTGATAATACCCAGAGCTGCTGTGATTTTGTTTCTGTTGTCCATGTTTATGCTGAATTTATTCATGTTGTCTTGCCTTTTCCTACATCTGCTTTTTAAATTGTGTTCTAGTTATAGTCCTTAGATTATATTCTTAGGAGACCTTCTTTCAGAGAGGATTTAATTTTTCATCCTGTGAACACTAGCAATCCAAGATCACCTCAATTTATTCAGGATTGATATGATCTAGAGTTGAGCTGTAAAAGCACTGAAGACTTATCTTCTACTGGTTTACCGTAGACTACAGCCCTTTGGGAATCTAAACCAAAGCTAGTTCACCCATACAGTGGTGAGCACCAGACTCTCTTTCCCGTGCTCTTGTGAAGCTACCGTAAGTGCTCTCAGCCATTCCACCAAAATTGACAGATGCTTCCAGGGGAAAAGAATACTCAAAAGCCAGGCTCATATTTCTATACTGGTAATTCTTTCCTATCTTGTTTACTTTCCAATGCCTTAAAACAGGTTTTGGTTTTGGTTTTTAAAACATATATGGGTCTAACTTTTCTAGACCTATCTAGAGGAAGAACTGATCCCAATCACCTAGTCTGCTATTACCAAAACTGAAGTTGAGTAACCAAACTTTAAACAAGATAGTAGTTGATTATACCTAAAGTTAAACTGTACCTGGAACTCAGATGTCTTAAAGTACCCATTAAGTAGAATTTGTGTCAAAAACAAACCAAGTAAGTTCCCAAAAAGCTATTTTTTGAAAAAGATGACATTAGTGAATGACTACTGTTTCCAAAATCAAGACAATAAAAGCAATTATTTTTTCATGTAACTCATGAGAAACCTTGTACTTTAAAATGTATAAATAAGTTTGAGGAAACTTCTTTTTTTGACAACCCAGAAGTACAACTTTTGTAAGACATTAAATATATGTAAATATTCATGTATAAATACATCTTGTAGAGAGCAATTCTGCCCTGAAACAGTACTTAATTAGGTATACATATAGGTCACTCTCCCCTACCCACATCAGTTTTTTTCCTCCTAATACAATACCAGGTTCAGCTGAATATTTACTGAGCCTACATTGCATATGCTCATTAAGGAAGATGTAACATAGTGTTTTCTGGAGAAATTTCCAGTCCCACAGGAGAGATACAGGGATAATGTGATAATGCTGTAACAGACGTATGCACAAGATGCTACAGGTACACAAGAGAGACATCATGTCAGCATGATGTGACATTTCAATTACTGTTCCATTAGTGACGTTTTAACTACTACTTCCTAAAATGCTTGTTTCCTTTGGTGATGCAATACTAAGGAAAAAAGAAAATGCACATCACATACCAATTCATGTTTTAAGCTTAAAAAAACTCACCTGTGTAAACATAAACACAAAGCATTATATGAGACTCCGAGGAGGAAAAACTGATAGGAAAACTCACCCCATCTGGCAGTGCCCTCCAGCACACAGCACTAACAAATTCATTTGTATCATCTTCTTTTCGGTCTTTGTCCAGAACACTTTTGACCGTATCAAACTTAAAAGTTAGCAAAGTCTTAGAAAGTCCTTTAT